GGTCGACACAAGGATTGTAACAATGGGCTCAAGTATATCATATGTAACCTGCTGTTTGAGGGTCAAGTATACTGTAATTATCAGTTAGGTCAAATTGCTTAATGATGATGATGATGCTCATAAAAGTTGGAAGATTAGATGAGAAGACATCATCTCATGTACTATGGATATGTGATCAGGAGCAGCAATCCTTGAGAAGGATATAATACTTGGTAAAATAGGTTAATGAAAAAGCAGAAGACCCTCAATGAGATGAATTGGCGCCAGTTGCCATGGGATCATTCTATTTCATGGTGACACGGTGTGTGTCAAAGAACAGTATCCCAAAGGGGTTTCAGTAACTAAGTTTCTGAAGTAATTTGCTAGATCTTTCTCTGTTGTAGTTAAGTGCCCTTGAGTTGAGTACGACTCACAGTGACCCTTTGAACAACAGATCTGTCCTATCCTGTGCCATCCTTATTGTACCCAGCACATTTTAACCCATTGCCGCAGCCATTGTAACAACCAGTCTTCATTGAGAATCTTCTCCTTCCTTGACTCTCTCTTTCTAAGCTTGATTTCCCTTTCCAAGGAATAGCCTCTTTATGCAAACATAAAATGGAGAGGTTCGTCTAATGCCAGATTCCTGGGGCTATCATAAAGATCACAAGAATTGACAGGAGGTTAAGGGGAAACTAAGAAAAGAGGGGATGATTAATGTACACGACATTGAAACAGACGAAAGAAAGAACTGTATAAAAGGGTATATGATTAGGTATTATTGACATGACAAGAGTCCATAAATAAGAGCTGCATAATAAAGTGATGCGGGGGGGAGGGGGCAGACTGTATAACAATGAAAAAACTTTTTTTCCAAAGAAAAAAGCGATCGGGGAGGGGGAGCCAGGGAGGAAAATGTGCAACAATGAAGGATTGGAAGCCCAAGTTCTTTATAAATTTTCATCAAAATCTTAATTTTAAAAAAGAATTGGTAGGGAGGGGAGTCATTTTTAGGAAATAACTTCCCAAAGTGAGGTCCTATCGTAACTCTCGGATCTGTCCCCTAATAGTGAAACCTTTTCTGGCTGAATCCAGGGCTGGTCCTAGGCTTCTTGTTTGATTCCGTCGAGTTGAGTATGTCTCATAGCAAGATTTTGAAAAGCCAGGGAGGCTGGGTCCTACGAGGCAAAATGAGATTCTAGTGATGGGAGAAGGACGAAGGACGGAATCGCTGTGACAGGACGGGAAGAGGAAGTTCGCGGCGGAGGAGTGTGGTGGAGGGACCGTTGCCTGGAGACAGCGTGGACGCCGTTGCCTAGAGACCGTGGGCCTCACGGAAAACTTCCGCAGCAGGGAGAGCAAGCACGAACCATGGCCGGACACCAAAAGGAGAAGGTGGTCCTAGATGAGGTCCATCAGAACCAGATCTTGCGAGAATTGTACCTCAGAGAGTTACGAACGCAGAAACTCTACACGCAGTATCACGTGAATCCTCTTCGAAAGGGTGAGGAGCTCGTTGGAGCGAAGGAAGGGGAAAGAGCTGGGAAGGAGTGGTGTGGGGATGAGGAGGGAAGGAATTTGGGTCAGAGCAATTGGGACGCCTTCTCTGAACCCCACACCCACCACCACCATCGCAGCCTACGATCACTGTTGTCGTTTCAAGATCTTCATAAGCTTCAGAAACTATATAGTATGGGAGTCCTTGCTCAGATCACATCATATATATTAAAATACATCCAGGTCCTCCCTAGTCATTGTCCAACTCTCTGATGCGTAACAAGCGATTGCAAAGATCATGGCCTGTATCAGGCGCACCTTAGTCTCCAGAGAGACACTGTTGCTCCTGAGTACTTTAGAGAGGTCCCTAACAGCAGACTTTCCCATCGCGATACGCTTTTTGATTTCCTGACTGCTGGTGCCAAGAGTGTTGACTGTGGAGCCGAGCAAACTGAAGCTGTGAACAATCTCAATCTCTTCGTCATCCATCCTGACGCTGCCAGTGGTGAGAATCTTTGTCTTCTTGACACTGAGCCTCAGTCCATACTGAAGGCTGCAGGGAGGACAGAAGGAGAGTGGATGCTTTTGAGCTGTGGTGCTGGAGAAGAGTACTGAATGTACCAGGGACTGCCAGGAAAACAAACAGATTTATCTTGGAGAGGATTAAACCAAGCTACTCCTTGGAGGCAAGGATTCTGGGGCTTCTTCTGACATACTTTGGACATGTTGCCAGGAGGGACGGGTCCTTGGAGAGGGACATCATGCTTGGGAGGGTGGAGGGACGGCGCAGGAGGGAAAGACCCTCTATGAGATGGATTGATTCAGTGACTGGGGTAATCGGGATGGGTGTGTCAGAGGCAGTGCGGTTGGCGCAGGATAGAGCAGGGTTTAGGGCTGTTGTGCATAGGGTCGCTATGAGTCGCAAACGACTAGATGGCACATAACAACAACAACAACATCCAGGTCACGATGAATTCATTTGTTAATGTAAAAAAAAAAATGTTGAAAGACTTATTATCATTTTGATTTTGTAAATAATTTAATTGTATTCTCCAAGGGAGCTCTGATGAGAAGCTTCGTTGCAATCCCAAAGGCAAGTGATTCGAATCCACCAGCTGCTCCGCAGCAGAAAGAGGCACAATCTCCTCCTGTGAGATTTACCCCCTCTGAACATCCGCTAGTGGGTCAGCTAAGAGTCGATTCCAACTCGATGTCACACAACAAACAACATCTTCTCCAAAAAGTACTCTGTTGTTTTCAGGTTTGGTTTCCTCCCCACCCCTTTAAACTATACTCTCTGGTGGCGTAGTGGTAAGGAGTTGCGCTGTCTAGTTAGCCGCAGGCTGTTTGTACCCATCAGATAACTCGAGGAAGGAAGAACATCCATCTCTTGTGCAATTTAACTCCTCTGAAAACCTGCTGGATGGTCAGCTATGAGTCGATTCTAATTCGATGGCATATAGCAATGTTTTGAGCTTCCAGTTTTGTTTCAGACCTTCAGAAAGCTCAGAAATGGTATACGCCAGGCCCATATCACTCCATCCGCAATAAAAATGGCCCTGCACACCACTTCCTTATTTGGCACACTCCCTGGACTGTCTGGTTTTGTAACACCAGCTTACTTTAAATGCCACTAAGTCTCAAATGGAGTTCAAATCTCACACACTTAGTCCCCTCCCAGTTGACCACTGTGTTGTTGTGGAATCTGAATTGATTCGTAATAGCTGACTCTCTGGTGGGTTTTCAGAAGTAATTTTAAAAAGTGCTTATCTAAGTATCTAAGTCTCACTGAGCAGTGGTGGTTTTGATTGAACCGCATTCCTTCAGGATTTCAACGCAGCTCCTTACCACTTGGTCACCAGACTCCCTCCCTCTGGACAACTATGTTGTCCTTGATGTTGTTGTTAGGTGCCAGTGGAATCAAGCACCACTCATAGCAACCCTATGAACAGCAGATCTGAACGCTGTCCTAACCTATGCCACCCTCACGATCTGTCATACTTGAGCCCATTGCTGTAGTCACTGTGTTAATCCATTTCGTTGAGAGTCTGATCTTGATGTTGCTCAAACTCATCAAGTTCAATCTCATTTCTTCCATAGATAATTTATTCAGCACTCTATCCAAATACTCCTGTCCAACAACTCCTCCCTAGTGATATGTCATCCATAACCTTGCCCCACCATCAACTCTCTAACTTATTATTATTTCTTTTCTTCCTCACACTTGTATTTGCTATATAGTTCATGCTATATTATATATGTCATTATCTGTCACCACAAATAGAATGGAGACTCCGTAACTATTAGAACCTTCTCTGAAGCTCATGTCTGTGCCTCTAGTGCATTAGTAATTATGAGCTGAATAAATGAATGTGAATACCACTCCTCTGCGATGGTATAGCTTCCTAGATGTATATCATTGTCTAACTAACCTCATTAGACTATCTGGCATGTCTGCCCACCCATAAGATCAGATCTCTTGAATAGACTATTCTGCAAGGATAAAAGTGTCCTTTATCTATGCTGCCCCAGACTATTCAGCACTTGAAATGTGGCTCCTAGTGTGACTGAGGGATTGAATTTTCAGTAGTGTATCATTTTATTTAAGTTCAAGTAGCCCAGTGTGACTGATGACTACACATTGTTGTTGTTGGTATGTGCTGTAGAGTAGTGACATTCAAGCCCATGAGTTTCTTCAACTTTGTGCCCTAGGACATAGTGCAATGTCTGACGTGTAGTGGATACTGAGTAAGGGCTATATGAATGTCTGGCCTAAGGTGAGTATGAAAGAGGGCAGAGATTCAATGTTTTATCTTGAACTTGTGATTTTTCCCCCCCTCTAGTTCACACAATCACCAGAAAGCCCATGTCTTGGCATGATAACATAGAAGAACCTGCAGATGGTAAGTCTCGGGGTTTTGAAAATGTCTTTGAGATGGAACACAGAGAGGCAAGCTGGCTGGAGAGTTCCTCAGGATAGTGCTACATTGGGACAAATTTAGACAGTCTGCTACTTTAATATTTTGAGAATTGGACTTATACAAACCAAGCTCACAAGAGACTGACATAGTCAACAATGTTGTTCCTACTGGCGTAAACCTAAGCATTCATTCATTCACAACCATGACACTTGAGAGTATAAGAATGAATTCTACAGTTATTGAGTTCAAATCCTGGCTCTGCCACACATTAACTATATAATTTTGGATATGTTCTTTAACCTCCCTAAACTATATGTTAATATTGTTTGGCAGTAAACTGGAAATAATACAAATGCATAGAACAGTTTCTGGCACAAGGTGCTAAAAATAAAAACCCCAAAACCCCCAGTTATTATAAGGATCATGTGCTTTTTTATAGTTCCTTTTATACTACTTCACTTTTACAAAAGACCTATGTTAGTACCTGTTTGCACTAACTGATTCAAAGAAGATTTTCACTTTACAAAAGGGGAAGCCAAAAAATAAAATTATTATTCAGTGTTTGTTTAGCAGTGAACCAATAAAGAGGCAACACATATCTCACACAGCAGGAGAAGAGTTGCCCAACTCCTTCCCTGGGACTATAAACAGCATCTCAATGCCAAGCTGCCATACTTTTCAACTATGTCAGTAAACACAATAATATAGTGTCATTTTGGGTTTTTTATGTTGTTTGTTATTATTAGGCAAGTTACTTGTTGACTCTGTTGTTGTCAGGTGCCATCGAGTTGCCTGCAACTCATAGCTACACTATGTACAAAAAACAGCTCTGAACCTTGCCCTATCTTGAGCCATTCTCATCATCTCTGACAGGCCTAATCCCATTTATCCAATCACTGAGTCAATCTATCTCATCCTCGGTCTTCCTCTCCTATACTGTTCCTCCACCATTCAAAGTATGATGTTCTTCTTGAAGGGCTGGTACCTCCTCTCCACGTGCCCAAAGTATGTGAGATGGAACTTCAAAATCCCTTCCTCCAGGGAACAGCTTGGTTTTACCCTCTCTAGGACAAACATGTTTGTTCTCCTCGCAGTTCACAATATGTTCAAGACTCTTCGCTAGTATCACAACTCAAAGACATCAATTCTTCTTTTCTCATCCTTAGTCATTATCCAGCTCTCTGGCTCATAGACTGTATCAGATGCACCTTAGTCTGCAGACTGACATTGTTGCTCTTCAGTACTCTGGAGAGTTCAGTACTCTGGAGAGGTCCCTGACAGCAGACTTCCCAGTGCAATCCATCTTTTGATTTCCTGATTGCTGGTGCCAAGAGTGTTTATTGTGAAACCAAGCAAGTTGAAGTTTATTAACTGTTTCAATCCCCTCTCTATCACAAAGCTGCCAATAGGCTCAGTGGTGAGAACCTTTATTTTCTTAATATTGAGCTTCTGTCTATATTGAAGACTATAGTCCTTGCCTTTCTGCAGCATACGCCTCATATCCTACTCAGTTTCAGCAAGCAAGGTTGTATCATCTGCATTATGCAGGTTGTTAATAAGTCTTCCTCCAATCCTGATGCCACACTCTTCATAAAATCCAACCTCCAGAATGATCTTTTCTGCATATAGATTGTAAAGATATGGAGATAGGATGCATCCTTGATGCACATCTTTCCTGGTCCTAAACCATGAAGTATTTCCTTGCTCTGTTCTGACTACTGCTTCTAGGTCCAAGTATAGGTTTCACGTGAGCACAATCAAATGTTCTGGGATTCCCATTCTTCTCAAAGTTAGCCACAATTTGTAGTGATCCACATAGTCAGACACATATAGACATTCCTCTGGTACTCTATGCTTTCAGCAAAGATGCATCTAATGTTAGTTATGTTGGTGTCAGGCCTCTTCTGAACCCAGCTTGCACATCTGGCAGTTCTCTGGTGATGTACTGTTGCAGACTCTGGGAATGCTCAAAAAAGTTTTCCCATATAAATGAATTCTTTGCTGTATGTCGGATTGTCATTATGAAAGGTTTCTATAGAAACATCCTGTAGTTGTTGTTAAGTGCTGTTAAGTCGTGGACGACTCATAGTGACCCTATGAAAGAAAGACCTGAACACTTGTTTGACTTACATTGTTTCTCCAAGTTCATAGAGTTTCCAGAGGCAAGCTATTATGGGAGTGGATGCCACTCTTACGTCCAAGTTTGTTTTAATCGGGGACCTCCACCGAGGGTAGCCATTATCGCATTAGACATATCATTGTCACAGTGTTTAGCATCACAGCAACCACGAGGTACCTCTGTACAGCAAATGGACAGACCAGTGCTATACCACTTAGAAGAATGTTTGACCAAAACAAATAAAACCAGCCCTGAGGGCCGCAGATAAAATCACCCACCTTTGACTTGGTAGCAAAACTTTCTATCCACAAGCCCCACAGAGCTCTCTCTATGTCAGTGGTGGTGTTGTTAAATGTTGTCAAAACATCTTACTTTTATGAAAATGTTTTTATAGAAACATTTATGAAATATTTTTATAGAAACATCCTACTTTCATATAGCACAGGAAACCTACAATATTATTTACATTATCATCATATCATAGTCACTAGGACAGTAGCTAGACGTGAGAATTCCATGTCATGATGAAGGAAATAGATAAGGAAATAGACTAATAGAACAATATTGATAAGGCAACAGTACCAAAAATGGGTGCTTAATTTGATCAGGAGAATTCTGGGAGATCTTAGAAGAGGTAATAGTAGGATGTGGTGGGATATGCCACTTGAAGAAGACTGAGGAAGGACATTTCAAGTGTACACCAAAGGCACCAAAGTGAGAAGTCCTAATAAGATCTAAGAACTGCAAGCAGTTTGGTATGGCCACAACATGCAAATGGAAAGGTGGCCATGTTTGGGAATAAGAGAAGAGAAACATCGGCTTGAAATATCCTTCCTGGAAAGCCTTTTTTCCTACATCTACCCTTCAAAGTATAATTTGATGGAGGAAAAAGAATAGAATTTATATAAGAAGATAGTGTGAGAAGTCAGGGTAGAGAAGGAAGCAGATCTTACAAGATAGTAAAGGAGATAGATAAGTGCATAAATGTTTTTTACTTGCCATCAATTCAGTTCTGACTCAATGGCAACTCCACACTTGCAGAGAAAAAAATTCTTTCATAGGGGAGGTTTTTGTTGTGATTTGCATGAAAGCTTGCAAAGTAAATTTATTTCCTTTTAACTATTTATATACATTTTATTTTATAGCATTAATTACAATACCCACAATGTTACCTCACTCACCCTGTGATTCTCTTTTCCATTAATCCTTTTATCCTAAGCTTTTCTGCCTTCTGGACTTTATCCTTGAGAAATGCTGCTCTTTTTGACATTATGCAGTCCTTTATTTTAAGGAATGCATGGCTCCCTGGTGTTGACAGTCATACTTCTTTCAATATAGAAAGATTGGGCCTCACATCTTGCCACTCTCTTAGTCTCAAAGACTGAGCTCACTTAAACCTCAGAGCCTACGTTCTGTCTGCAGTGAGCCTCAGAGCCTATGTTCTGCCTGCAGTGAGCCTCAGAGTCTATGTTCTGCCTGCAGTGGTCTTCCCTTGCTTCCTTTCAGGGCTAGTTTCTGCTTGGCCTTGCTATCTGAGGAAGATGTGTTTACTGCTTCTGGCTTGCTTTGCTCGCTTGCTCCCACTCCTGACTCTGCTGTTCACTCTCCCTAGGGAACAAGTTGGTCAGGAAGACATACCACAACCCTAGCTTCTAAGAACTTCTAAGACTGGAATCGTTTCCAGATGAGGATTCACAGCAACTCATTGAGTTGCACAATCCTTTTGAAATTGTCAAGTAGATCACTTCCATCATCATTGAGCCTGGAGTAGAGGTTGAAGTAACCATTGCAGAAGCCTATATCAACTATTTTAATAAATTGACTATCTGTTGGTTAAAAAACAAACAAACAAGAAAACCCAAAGAGGTTTCCTCTGTCACCATTCTATGTCAGAGATGGTGAGGATGGCACAGGATAAATCAGGGTGCAGATACTTTTTTTTTTCTTTCTCCCTTGTAGTGTACCATCAAATCAGATCCAACTGCCACTGGAGGAGATTGCCCTTCCTTCTCCAGTGGAGCATCTGGTGGATTCAAACTGTGCGCCTTTGGGATTGCAGCATGGCTTCTTGCCACTAGACCACCAGAGCTCCCTTGTACATCCATTCTTCATAGGGTTGCTATGAATCACAGTGACTTGACAACGTAACTGCAACCACCTTCATATCATGCCCACCAAAGTACTATTTTCTTCACAGCGTGTATTGCTATCTATAGTTAATCAGGTTTATTTGTCTGCTCTGTCTCCTACCTAGAATATGAACTCCAGAAAAGCAGAGACCACATTTATCTCAATCAGTACCCTCCTCCCAGGACCCAGAACCATATCCATCATAGTTAGTGCTCAAAAAGTATTTGTTGAAAGATTAGAAAAGGAATATTCCTATCTCAAGGTCCAGGCAAGCCTCAGAGCCCCAAGAGCCTGCCTGTAAGGAGCAAGATGGTCAGAGGAAAGGGCATAGGAACACAGATTGGTCCCAAAATCTGACTCTTACATAATCCAAACCTCATCTTCCAGTCAGGTTTTTGAATCTCATTCACCATGCTGCCCAGGGACCCAGAAAGAAATACTCAGAGACACAGACTGAAAGCCAGGAAATTGGATGGGATTCAAACCCCTTGGTAAGTATGGTTATGGTTCCTAGTTTTAGTAAACGTTAATAGACACATATAACTGGTGGCTAAGAAAATAGATGACCTTGAGTGATTGCAAACTATCTCATGCCTTACCTTTCTCATTGTAAAATGGAGATACTGCCTAAGATTGTTATGAGGATTAAATGAAGTAGTATTTGCAAAGCACTTAGAACAGTGCCTGGTACATAATAAATACTGTTTACACCCTTACCAGATGCCTTTGAGTTCATTCCAATTCATGGAAATCTCATCTGTGCCAGAGTAGAACTAGCAATCTGCTTATGAAAGGTGCTTCAAATCCCTGTTGTCCTAATCTGTGCAAGTGGAGTTTCCATGAGTTAGAATTGACTAAATGGAAACTAAGACCTAACCAGGAGTCACTTCTTCCATAAAAACCCATTAATGTACATCAGTCACCATCTGCCAAAAAGAGTTAGTCTCTCTTTCCTTTTGTTTCTACAGCACCATATAATTCCTACTGTCACAGAATTTCACTCATCATCAGTACATTTGTGATTTGATAACTGTTGCAGACTAAGGGTAAAGTATATTAATAATTAATAATGAGAAAAAACACCAAGAATGTATAAGTGAACAGTGTAAAAGACAGGGGCCAGTGGATTACACACCTCAACTCTTAGCTTGTCAGGGACGGTAACTGGAACCCGCTGTCCACTCCTGTCATCCTTCCTTTCTAACCCGTGGTCAGAATGCGTGAGTGCATCTCCATCCATGTTGGCCAGGCTGGTGTCCAGACTGGCATTGCCTGCTGGGAGGTCTACTGTCTGGAGCACGGAATCTAGCCTGATGGCCAGATGTCAAGTAACAAGACCATTGGGAGAGGAGATGACTCCTTCAACACCTTCTTCAATGAGACTGGTGCTAGCAAGCATGTGCCCAGGGCTGTGTTTGACCTGGAACCCACAGTCATTGATGAAGTTCACACTGGCACCTAACACCAGCTTTTCCACCCTGAGCAGCTCCTCACAGGCAAGAAAGATGCTGCCAATAACTATGCCCGTGGGCACTATACCATCAGCAAGGAGATCATTGATCTCATCTTGGACCAAGTAAGAAAACTGACTGACCAGTGCCAGGTCTCCAGGGCTTGGTTTTCCACAGCTTTTGTGGGGGAACCAGTTCTATCTTCACGTCCTTGCTGATGGAGCGCCTATCAGTTGATTATGGCAAGAAGTCCAAACTGGAGTTCTCCATTTCCACAGCTGTGGTCGAGCCCTACAACTCCATTCTCACCACCCACACCACCCTGGAGCACTCAGATTGTGCCTTCATGGTAGACAATGAGGCCATCTATGACATCTGCCCCAGAAACCTTGATATTGAACGCCCAACCTGCACTAACCTTAACAGCCTTAGTCAGATTGTGTCCTCCATCACTGCTTCCCTCAGATTTCATGGTGCCCTGAATGTTGATCTGACAGAATTCCAGACCAGCTTGATGCCCTGTCCTTGCATCCACTTCCCTCTGGCCACATGTGCCCTGTTATCTCTGCTGAGAAGGCTTACCATGCACCCAGCCAACCAGTTGGTGAAATGTGACCCTCCCCATGGTAAATACATGGCTTGCTGCCTGTTGTACCGTGGTGATGTGATTCCCAAAGATGTCAATGCTGCCATTGCTACCATCAAGACCAAACGAAGCATCCAGTTTGTGGATTGGTGCCCCACTGACTTCAAGGTTGGTATTAATTACCATCCTCCCACTGTGGTGCCTGGTGGAGACCTGGCCATGGTACTGCGAGCTGTGTGCATGCTGAACAATACCACAGCCATTGCTGAGACCTGGGCTCACCTGGACCACAAGTTTGATCTGATATATGCCAAGCATGCCTTTGTTCACTGGTACGTGGGTGAGGGGATAGAGGAAGGAGATTTTTCTGAGGCCTGTAAGGACATGGTTGCCCTTGAGAAGGATTATGAGGAGGTGAGTGTGGATTCTGTTGAAGAAGAGGATGAGGAAGAAGGAGAAGAGTACTAATTCCTTTCAGCCCTTTAGCTTGTAACACTCAGAATTGACAATGCTTTATGGCTAGATTGTCTCTAGCAATGAAATCATGTCTTATTTTTCCATGTGTTCCTGTAAGATTTTTTTCCATCATGTCTCAAAGTAAAAAAAAAAAAAAGACAAGGGCCAGCAGTTCCAAACAACTGAAGTGCCACAAGCCATGCCTCTCTGTATTTTTTGAGGATCAGGGGAAGCAAATCATAAAGAGAATTCTCTTGTAAAAGAAGCCAAATTTTTCTCTATTGTCAACCTAATACTTAGCCCTGAAAGGAAATATTTCACACATAAAGACTTTTACACTCCCTCTGCTGGGGACCTACCTACCTCTTTTCTGCAGGGAGCAGCTCATTTCCTGTGATCTGTTACAAGAGAAATTCCAACTTATGTGATTCCTTCAATTCCTGAATAAGTATATGGTTTTTCATATAATATTTGGTATGAAATTTGGCTTCCCATAGATAACTCTAGATACAGTTAGTATGAGTTCAGATACAAACCATCACTTTCTGGATCTTTGAAGTTAACCTATCTTAATTCCCATGTATCTAATTTTAATGAGAATACTTACAGTTGCTATAGAAAACTCTGATGGTCTAGTGAGTAAAAAGTTTTGCTGCCAATATAAAGGCAGACAGTTTTAATCCAGAAGCTCCTCTATGGAAGAACGATGGATGTTAAGTCTGCACATCGCCCTCTGAAAGACCACCAGCTCACATATGCAAACAAATTCCAGCATGCGGGGGTCCACCATTTGATAGAAAATGGTAACCCTGGGTGGGCACATGTAGACCTTTTTATAGGTCCATTGGGGCTGTTCGACCAGTGTGAGGTAATTGGGAACATGATTGGTGGGCAAGGGGAACAGTTACATGGGGTGGTTTGTGATTGACTCATGCCTAGGTAGCCACCCCGCCTACCTTCGCCCTTTCACTAGGCGCAGATAGCTGACCTGAGATGAGAACCTTCCCCTGCTTTCTCTCCTGATTGGCTGTCTCCTGAGCTAAGAATTTTTATGGCCTGCTTCTACTTCTGG